AATATATTAAGAGGATAGTACGATATTGTCCTCTTAACATCTTAATCCTTAGCACGGAATAATGTACAACTATCAACATAAGTTTTTACTACAAGAAAGAAATGGTCAACTGATGAAGTTTCATTACATTTGTGTTCCCTATATTTATATTGTTTATAGGGTGAAATGTGTCATTTATCTATTTTAAAAAAATAATTTTTTAAAATTTTATTTGAGCTCAAGTAGGTTTGAATTGGAATTCGAGCTTAAGATTAAGTTTTAAAATGAAAGCTCGTCGAATTCGACCCTATTAAAATTGAGTCAAGCTCGATTCATTTAAACAAAATTTCAATTCAACTCAACTTATTTGCAACCTAATTAGCAATCCATGAAGTCTTCGCACTTACTGCTACACCACAATCAAAGAAAATTGGTGTCATAATGAATTGAAAATTTTCAATTTGCTCGCTAGACTGCTAAACTAGAGTTAGGGTGGAAAAGAATTGAAGGAAATTGAGAAGTTAGCTTTTGGATCTTTACATTTTGGTCAATGATTAAGTAAATTATCATATTTTCCCTCTAAATATTGATTATGTGATATATTTGTAATTTATTTTGACTAAAATTTGACTATATTGGTGACTGGGGGAAAAAAAATGAGAGCCTTTTTTTTAAAATTGTTAGAAACTAAAATCATAAATTTTCATTTTAAGAGACTAAAATTTTATATTAGTAATATTTGAGAGACCATTAATGAGATTTTTTTTTTATAAACATCTCGAGAATATTGGTGCAATTTTCCACTTGCAAATATTTCGTTGTTAATACAACTAAAACATATTACTAGTCCTTATTTCAAGGAGAAAGGATATCACTGTAGCGTTATATGTATTTTTTTTGTTAAAAAAAAGTGTTATATGTCTTTAAATTACTAAGAATTAAAATGTGAAATTTTGAACGCGAAATGGTTTAAAACGAAATTCTCGCGTGATAGAACCTTTTAGTTGTACCCCGTGCTGCAGGGGACGCTGCACCACCACAGCGCCAATTCGCCTCGTAAGGAAGTGCTCTATTGCACTGGATTGATTAGGGCAAATGCACCACCTGTCGTATCTCTATGGCTGCAATATAAATTGGGATACGGACAGCTGTCACTCAGAATTTCGGGCCTGCTGTATCGACATATTATACGAGCACCAGTAATCCTTAACGGAAATACATAAAATTAAGAGTAAAATACGCTTAACCCCTACACTTTACTCTCAGCTCTGCTTTAGCCCTCTAAACCCACTCAATAGACACTTTGCCGACCTTTAGGGCAATAGCATCCTTGCAGGAATATATATTTTTTTCTTTTCTTCATTCATTTATTTGTTTTTCATTTTCCATTATTTTCTTTTCTTTTTTTTTTTTTTCACTTCTTTCATCTCACTATTTTCTTCACTTTTCTATTTGTATTATTAATTCTATATTTGTTGTAATATTGTAGTTTTGTTTCACTTCTAATTTCATTCTTAATTAATTAATTAATTTACACGGTTAAAAAATTGAGGACAAACTATATAACATGATATAATAATATATGTTCGTTATAATCAAAGGTGTATATAACTACCAATTTGACTATTTAAATAGACATTAGCAAACCAAAATTTTTAAATTACCTAATATTTAAAACCATATACCAAATTAATGAAGAAACTAGTATGTTTATTTATTTATTATTACATATGGTTTTTTTTGTTATTTACAGTTGATTAAACATCATATTATTACAATCTTATTTGTTACTGTTGTCGTTAAAAATTAAGTATCTAAGCTCCAGATGTGCTAATTTAAATACCATTTGAAATATTTCATGTGCATTATTAAATTAACGTGTACTTTATCATAGAGTAGATTTTGTGATCATTATTATTTCTAATAATAACAAGTAAAAAAGATAAAATAAATAAAGAATAAGTTGAAGAAGATTAAAAATAATATGTAGATAATAATAACAAAGAAAAGAAATTAGTTGGCCAATGAAGAATAGAAAAAAATTCCAAAAAATGAAGAAAGGGGACAAGAATAAAAAGGACCCAAAAAAAAGAAAATAAATAAAATAATTAATATAGAAGAGATACTTTTGCCCTAGAACAGGACAAAGTACTTATTTATAAAACGTAGAGGGTAAAGTGTAACTGGAATAGGAGGATTCAGAGCATTTAACCCAAACGTTGAATGATGTAAAAAAGATCCTAACCCCCCTCGCACGTGTCAATATGTAGCTGATTTCAAGATAAGACAAAACACCGCATAATGCTCAGTACCTGCACTTTTTAGTTGAAAAAGGTTGGTGCAGACTTTTTGTCTTTTTGATGACATGATCTTATCAGTCCTTTCTCCATTACCGTTGCTAGTGATAGAGTGCTCGTATATGGTAATTAACCGGTAAGGAGGAAAAAAGGAGTTTAGAACGTGTGATCGAAAGAGTAGTGTTTTGGTTTAAAAAAAAAAAAAAAAAAGGAAATATAGGGTGAAATAATTTTGACAGATGTTATTTAATCTTTAGTGCACTTAATTACCCAAAAGAAAGTGTTGGTTGAAAAACAATCGAAAAATAATTTCAGGCAATTGCATTCAACTATCATTTATGTGGACTCGTACATATTTATTGTGTTGGAATTACATAGACGACATTATTTAGACCCTTCAATTTGAGTTTGCGCCTGCCTTGTTCGCACCTCAGAGTCAGAGACGTGAACAATTCCAGGTGGTTGTCACTGCCCCTGCCCTTTGTTCGAATGGGCGTTGGGCAAGCTTTTCTTTTTAAAAGAATTTAGTCAAGAAATTTGAAGCTTCCAGTACAGGCAGGTGGGTTCGCTTTGTAGAAATCAATTAAGAATTCACTTGGAACGAAGAATGGGGGTGTTTTTTTCAGAAAAAAAAAAGGGATAAATATTATAGCAATTCCCTAAATATATAGTACTACGTGCTACGCTGCTTAGAGCTAATGTAAATAGGCGAGAGTGGAGTGACTTCGTCTTTTACAACACTTTGGACGCAAACCATGTCATAAATTAATATCCCAGAGGAATACCAAAAGATGCTAACATTCACATTTTCTCGATCCCACCTTTTTTACTTGACGAATACTGAAGCTTTTTAGTGTGTGTGTATATATATATACATAATATAGTGAACTAAACAATTCCGCCCCGGGGCAGTTTGTTTGGATAGAGAGAATTTGGTTTGCTTAATTTATTCTCACAAATCCCAATCACCTTTTTATTTTCCCAATCACCTTTTTATCTCACATATATCACATCACAAAAAGTGCTACAGTAAATATCTCAAATAAATCATCCAAATAAACTCTTATCCAAACAAACTCAGTGCGTTCTGTTTCGTTTAGTACGTTCTGTTTTATTCCCTATCGCGTTAACCTGCCATTTGCTGTACCTCTGCTTGGCTTTCCTGATACACTGGCGACCTGTAACCAGTATAAATATATATATCTATACACGTCTGTTAGGCCACAAGTAGTAGGCAAGTTTTTTTCTGGGGTAAGAATTCGGTCTCAAGGCAAATTTATGTCTGGCTGAAGAAAGAAGTATATTTGGTAAGGAACACCGTCTGTCTGAAGTTGTGCGAGGATATTATGTATAAGTTCAGTTTCGAATGGTTAAATCTCCACTGTTCTGTTTTCGTTTCAGTTTTTTGTGCTTAGAAAGTGTGCCTTGTTCAAGGAATGAATCAACAATTTTAAGATCCAGTGACGAATAAAATGAATAGGCCATCATGTTTTTGATTGATAGGTGATGTTTTATTTAACTACAACATCCAACTATCGAAGTCACTAATTTTATTTTGCGGAACTAATCACCAGTTTGTGTGGCAGTCAAGTTCTGCTGGCTGATTGCTCCTGAATGCATGTTTTGAAGTATAAGGATCCTTCTGGGAATGCTTTTTATTTGACCATGGCGTTGGCTGGCTGAAATTTTTTGTACTTTCAAAATTGTCTTGTCATGAATGGTTTACCTAGTCAGGTAGACAATCAAACCTAAAAGGTAGCAAACTAACAAATATACTTTGTCCGACTATTTTGCAATTTGTCTGTCTTTGATCTTAGTCGTAAGACTAATACACTATGTGGGACATACTACCAGATTTGTTCTACATTTGGCCTAATTATAGTCTGTTATATGATTTTCTTTTCATCACTAGTTCGTGAAATATGTTTTGCTCTTGTAACATGAACAGGTGACTCTTTGTTTTCGAAACTGGATTTTGCTGAAGGTGTATCAATCTCAACCAAAGTGATTCCGATTCACACAGTTTCCATTGTTCCAATGGATTCGCAAGCAGCTTCATCCTCCTCGTCATAAACTGGGTAGCGAATGGAATCATAGTAAACTAATTTCATTTGTCAAAGTGTAATATTTTGCCTTACTGTCAAATGTAACTGATATGCAGGGTGGTGAATGGGAAAGAATTGATAATTCATGCACGAGAGTTGGGATTCCCTGACTTACTTTCCCCATCCCTGGAGTCGATGACTTGGTATGTATACTTGAAGTATGCCATAAATATATTCAGCATCCGAGATGTTTCAGATGAGAATATTAAAGGTACATCCAACTCTTGGTAGAAGTTATTACGCCTTGTATATGTTCTCATTTGCGTCTAACATTAGTTTGCTTGGTATTATCTATGCTGATTTCTTTTTAATGCATTTGGGAACTGAACTATTGGGGATCATTTATGCATTTTCTGCTATTCCCTGTGTATCGCTTTTTTTTTTTCCTGTGATTTGTGTGAAGTTTCTCCAATTGGTTCTAGATGTTGCATTTGGCTTGTAGTTAATGTGTTAAGGAAAGGTGATTTCCTAGTAAAAGATGCTACTAGTTTTCCTTGTTTGCTCCGGGTTTGACCGGTGAACCGGATAATTTGATCAAACCCGGTTTTTTTTTTTTTTTTTGCCCTTTCTGCCTTTTTTTTTCAGTCAAAAGTTGGACTGACCAACTAAAAAAGAGACGAAATTATCAAAACTTGGGGTCAGCTCCTCTGCTTCTCTTTCCGTACTTTTCTTCCTTTCTTCTTCAGCTCCAATAACCCTAAAATCTAAAAGCCTCCACCGCTGGCATTTGAGATTCACCGATCGTCGCTTAATCAAGGTTGCCGTTAGTCACTTGTCCTTCAATCTCTAGCCTCCACTGCCGCAACACCACCAGTTTCTTCAGATTTCAAGGTTCAATCAAGTAATTAACACGCTGGTGAACCGAAGCTAAATCTGGTAATTTTTATAATCTAAACCAGTCGTGAAGATGGCTAATTCATTATGTTGAAGTTGATCTATGACTAAAATTTCAGTATTTTTTTTATTTATTATGCTGGCATTTGGGATTTTGATATTATGGGTGAGAATATCACGTCCTTATTAGAGAATCTGGAAATTTGAATTTGATTGTCTCTTCTTGTTTTCAAGTTTCTTCCATTGATGATTGGTTACTTTTCTTTGTCTGTTCCATCTGGGTTAACCATTTACTGGTTATAATTCGCACAACCATGCTTATATGTCCCTTCACGTTTCTCTGTTATAGCATCAGTACCAGTGCAAACTGGTTGGATACACTGGATCAAGAATTTTTAAGTTGATAATGATCACACAGTCCAAGCGAATAGTTATCTTTTCGTTTTGAGAATACACTGGATCAAAAGTTAATAATGTCTGTTACATGAATGAGTCTCTTCTGTAGTTTTGTTGACCAACTTATGTGTTTCCTACCTCAAAGGCTGATGGATACAATTATCAGCCGTACTAGTACCATGGACATAAATGGTAGAATAATATGCTACAACCATTTAATGCAGTTTTTAATGTCCTGTGGTCCAATAAAGCAGCAGTCTTTAGTGTAATTTCCTACCTCAATGTCTCTTCAGTCTTCTGTAGTTTTTAATGTCAGCTTGATGATGAGGATGATCTTGATGACATCGATATCGAAAGTTATGAAATTGGAGAAAAGGGTGATGAAGATGAAGATGAAGATAAAGAATGGCTTAGATAGTTCTTTGGTTTAGAAATTGAACGTGTTGTTTTATTTAGATTGATATTTATCAAGCATTTGAACATGAGCTTGTTACCTTATTTGGATTGCTATTTGTCAGGGATTAAACATGTATGAGATTTCTATTTTATAAATTTTGTGAGTTTGGATGAATTTGGTGAATTGGATATAAATTTAGATGATTGGGTTCTTTGGTTATATTTTGTAAATTTGATTTGCAGGAATATATATATATATATAATCTATATATGACGTATATATGACGTCATCCGGTTCGACCCCTATTGACCCCGGTCGAACCCATTGACCCCTGACCCCTGAGCTCGGCCGAGTCGATTCCCGGGCCGAGTCTGAAAACATTAAAAAGTTGACTTGTTGCATGGTTCATTACTTTATGCGCATATCAACTGATGTTATAACATATTTTCCTGGATTTCGACAGTTCCAGCCTTGAAATTGGAAGATCAATACATCACTGATTTCAAGGAGTTAGGAAAAGCATTGCCTTTAGCAGAAGTACAACAGGAGGATTTGCTTGACAGTTCTATTCAAAATGTGAAGAATGCGGTACTTTTGACCCTGTTGTCTGACCATTTACAAGATCCCAATCGCATTCCTTGGCTCAGTGATTTCAACGCACTGCTGCAAGAGCTGGAACTGCCCCAACCAGTTTCAGTAGATAATCTCAATGAGAAAAGGCCTGTCGTGCTCTCCGATGCAGAGGCAGCATTTAAGACTTTAGCATGGAGGCTTTCAGATTCAGCTTTTTTGCTCCTAGAACAGTAAGTGAATGATTTTCGGAGCTTTTCAAGGAAGATAGATTCTCAACTTATGGTTATGATTGTTTGGCATAGGGCAAGGAACGCGTCAGTTTATGATGCAAAATTGGTTGGATGTACTTCAATCATACGCAGAATTTTGGTCAGTACTTTCTTTCATTTGCAACATGTGATCCTTAATTTTGGTAAGTAGACCTGGCAATTATTCCCAAAACCCAACAACCCACCCAACCCACCCACTAATTTGAGAGATTGAGTTGGGTAAATTGGGTATTGGGTCAATTTTGGGTTGGCTAATAAAAATTCACATATATTTTGGACAGTTTGGGTATTTGTGTTGGACACCTATTACCCAACTTTTGCTAATTGAATCAAGTAAATAATCAACACAATCTTAAAAGGGTGAATAGTTACTCAAAAGCATCAACTATAGACTTTTTTCTATTATTTTTTGCTATAAACATCTTTTGTGATTATACTTGGCCTATTTTTAATTCCTTGGTTACATACTTAATAGGGTATTACCCTAGATATGGAAAAGGCCAGATGCGTTAGAATAGTTGCCAGATTCATCGTGACAAAAAAATTAATTTTCATTTGTGAGTTAGATATTTAGCTACAATATGACTTTTTTTCATTTATACTATCGTCATCAAAATGTTAAGTATGAAGAATTTGAACATTATTAAATTCGGAATTAATTTTGAGACGTTAATGTCAACTTACAACTACTCATGCCCAAAACCCAACAACCCACCCACTAATTTGAGAGGTTGAGTTGAGTAAATTGGGTATTGGGTCAATTTTGGATTGGGTAATAAAACCCACATATATTTTGGGCGGTTTGGGTATTTGTATTGGACATCCATTACCCAACTTTTGCTAATTGAATCAAGTGAATAATCAACACAATCTTAAAGGGTGAATAGTTACTCAAAAGCATCAACTATAGACTTTTTTCTATTATTTTTTGCTATAAACATCTTTTGTGATTATAAGTGTGGTTGGATTATAAATTATTTGAGATATTTTTACTGTAGTACTTTTTGTGATGTGATGTATGTGAGATGTAGACACCAAATTTTTGTCAATTTTTAATATTTTCTTGAATTTTTTCTATTTAATGAGTTATTTATTTTCTTGCATTTTAATTTGCATTTTTCTCATTTTTGCAGGTTTGTTTTAGGAAAAGAAGAAAAATTAAAAAAAAAACAACAAACAAACAAAACAAAACAAAAGAAGGAAAATTAAGAAAATAAAAAAAATCATTCTAATCATTTTGTTTCATCAGAACCACTATTAACCCATTTTTACACTCCATCCTCATTAACATTTCTTCCCATTTTGGTAAAAAATTCATCATTGATAGCCCATGCATACTTCTTGTCTTTGGAAGAAAAAATCATCATTTGGCCCAACTTAACACTCCTAGTCAAGACATCACTCGGCTCTCTCTGGGGGAAAAGGAGGAAAAAAAAACACACACAAAAAAGGCTCTACTGTTGGCTACAAAAATCTCCTCTCTCGGCTCTCTCCCACAGGACAGAAGACAAGCCATAACAAGAAAAAAAAAAAGAAAAACTCCTCTCTCCATTCGGCTCCCTCTCTTTTCCTAATATACACACACAGAATCAAGCACAAGAAAGCAAGCAATCGGACGCGAGGAGATTGGAATTTCATCAACAATTTTAACTAAGGTCATAAGAGGTATCAACACTTCCATTGAACTATTTCCCGTTTTTTTTTCTTTATCGTGTTGAATTCATGTATTATTGGTTGTTCCTGCTGTTTTCTTGTTGTTGCTGCTGGTGTTGTTGAAATTTTGGGGTAAAGCCATGAATAAACATTAAGGAAAAGATGATTTCTGTGAATGCATGTTAATTGTTTGAAAAAATGCCAAAAAGAATTTTAGGGACTGTTTTGCCTTAATTCAGCCTTTTTATGTTGTTTTCTTGTTCAACTTAGATTATAGTTGTAATGTAGAAGTTATAAGGAGGGTTTTGGCATAATTTTTAAGATTTTTGGTGAAGATTATAGTGTTTTAAAAAATAAAAAACTGGACTGGCTTTTTGCTTTTCGGCCACCTTCGGGTCATCTTTTGTAAAAATTAACTCCGGAAATGGAACCTACGCGAAAAATGGAGTGGAAAGATGTATTTTGAGAAATTTTGGCCACTGGAAAAGTCGCCGGTGACCGGCGGTCCGGTGGCGCCGCCACCATGGCTACCAGCTGAAGCTTCTTCGGTTGGCCGAAGAAGAAGGAAAGGAAACGTATGGGGAAGAAAAGAGAAAGAAAAGAAAGAAAGAAAAAAGGGGTTTGGGCTAATGTTTTATTTCGGTTGGGCCAAGAGTTAGTTTTGGTTGGGTTATGAAAATGGGTTTTGGTTTATTTTCTTTTGGGTTTCTGTTGGGCTAAGAGTTTTGAGTCCATATATTTTGGTTGGGTTTGAGTGATAAAAGACGGGCTGGCCTGTGTGTTTTAGGTTGGGTTTTCAGTTGGGCTTAGGTAGGTTTGGCCCAAGTAAAATAAAAAGGGAGGCCCGATGCCCTCTTCTTGCCCAAATCAGAAACGAACTTGCACTTCAGTCCCTGTACTTTCAAGTACTTTCACTGCGGCCCAGAACATTTTAAATTCCTTTCAACTCGGTCCTTAAATTAATTTCACTTTGGTCCCTGAATTTTATCTTTCATTTAATTTGGACCCCTGAACTTTGGAAAATATAATTTTTGTCCCCCAAAAGTTTTCAACTTTTTGTAATTCAGTCCTTGACAAATTTTGGCTCTCTTTATTATGATTGTTTCTTTTCTTCAATAACTAATTATGTTACTTTTGAACATATTCAACTTGTAATTTTTAGATATTTTAAATTTCTTTATGTTTGACATATTAGCGTGAGCTTAGTACTTTTATTATTATTGTTTTTTTTTAAAATTAAATTGGTGCCATGATTCTTTTGTTCATTGTGAGTATAAATAGGACAATTTGACTCCATTTAGTCACCACTTCAAAAGGGAGGTACCTCATTATTATTATTTCAATGTTAATTACGTGCTCTTATGTGCTCTTACGTGCTCCTATATGTTTATATATTTTTATATGCTTTGTTTATTTGATTTGAATGATCATTTAAATTTTCTTATACTTTTTTAGTTAATTTTATAATTATTTGAGAGGCATTTAAATACCTCAAAAATGTAATAGATAGGATAATTAGATTTGTTTTATTTTATTTCCCCTTTTAGATTGTAGTTAGGCGCTCCCCGATGTAATAGATAGGTTGTGTGCTTATGTGGCTTATGTGTTACGTGCCTTACTTGCTTTCCTTAGGATTTTTGCATCTAGATATTATGCTTATGTGTTACGTGCTACGTGCTCTTATGTGTTTATTTGTTTTAATTTATGTCTACTTGTCTTATTATGTATTAAAAATGCATGACGTCACCACACTAGTCCAACGCTAGTTGTGGTTTCTCCCTCCGCTTACTTGCTAGTCCAACGCTAGTAAGGATTTTTAAAAATGGGCTAGTCCAACGCTAGACCCTTTAGGCCGTCTTGCGTTAGATTCATCTTTGTGTGCTATTCACTACATTTTCATGCATATTTTCATTTTTAGGATATTTTCTCATTTGTATGATATTCCCTATTATATTATCCCATATTCTCTATAGGTGTTAATCATGTCATTTAGAATTGCATCTCATTTAAGCTAGTTCATTTGCTTGTTCATGTTAGGATAATTATTTTTCAAACATGGAAAATGGGTGATTATAACTCTATAGTTTAAATACCCTATTAATCCATGTATAAGAAAATTATGTCACGAATTTTTTCGCCTCCCGTACCCTTTATGTTGCATTCCCTTTTTCTTTGATCACTTATATATATGTATATAATTTAATTTCTTTTATTTTATTTTATTTTTCATCATTTGCATCCTCGTGACACCTTCAAGGATTCATTTTGGCCTTCGCAATTAATGCGATTGATCCAATTAAACCCTTGAATGAACATTTTGTCCCTTTCGATATTTTTAGATTTGCATCCATGTAGGAAACATCCAAACGTGATAAAATTAAGGGTTAGATTAGGAAAATTTTGACTAAACCTCGCAACTAGCTTAGACTAGGTTGAAAGGGTGCCTTAGGTTTGAGTTAATCGAACCTTTGCCTTCCCTTTCTTCAACCGTGACTCCCGAATCCATTTTCTCTTGTTTTCAAAGACCTGGAGTTGTCAAAAAGGGTTTTATTTTATTTTATTTTACTTTATTTTTTGGGTGACTTGGTACACCAAAATTTCATACCAAGTGGCGACTCCTATTTTTTCTTAAAAACCCTTTTAGACTAAATTTTGGACCCAAATTGTCGCATTCTTTAAAGTCCCATTCTAGGTCCTTTTTCATTTATTTTAAAATAAGATTACATATTTTGTAAATACCTATTTTTATACTTATATTTTTCCATCACGAAAAATGGGGCGCGACAACTTGGCGACTCCACTGGGGACGCTAGAGAGTCCAAGCACTTGGTTTAGTTGTCTTTTCTCTTTTTAACCCTTTTATTTATCGCATTTGGATGTTTAGGGTTGCATTTTCTCTTTTTTAGGATTTTTTGCATTGCGCGCGTATCAATTCGCTCCCTCATCTATTTGTGTACGATTGATGGATGGATAGTTTATGTATGTTATCCCGCGCTTTGCATTGCATTTGGATGGGGGGATATTACCCTAGAGCCTCGCATTGGTTCTCGATCCCTCCCCTCCAAACCGAGCACTAGCATACGTGCATACGTTTTATTTTATCCCTCATTTATTTTTCTTTAGTGGCTTGTCACGCCACTCTTCCCTATTAGGATTAGGCGACCCACTTGGATGTGTGATCGCGACACGACGTGTGCGTAGCATGATTCGAGGGGTCACTCAATCTTCCATTTTAAGCTTTGGGTTGATAGCCTTTAGCTTTTAGTCGAAAATTGAGAATTTTTGATAGATTCACTTGGACATGTGGCCGTGGCACGACGTGCACGTAGCAATGTCTGGGGAATCGCTCGAGCCACCGACAAAGAACCTTGGGATTGATGACCTTTGGTTTCTAAGTCTGAAGGCTCGGGGATCTAAAACCTATCGAGTCTAGATGCATTAGTGAGCCGATACCTCATGCATCCATGATAGTTTACCTAGGGTAGAGTCTGCCTTACCCTATTAGGAACACTATTCACGAGGGGAGGGATCCAACCCCTCTTTATTGTTTTATCTTTGTGTATTACTTTGCTACAATGTGTTATGTGTATTTGTCTGATTGAACTAACTTTTCTTGGGTTTTGTCTCCATTGCATTCATAAATCCTAGAAAATAAGAGTCCTGGCATGGTACTCTCTAGGAGTCTATCCTATTTGATATGACACGTTTAAATTCAATGCTTCGCATTTACAGCATGATTACATTTCATTTTAGGCTCACCCCGGCATACAAAAGGGGGTTCTTTTAGGTCGTGTTTCATTTGTATACTGCATATTTAGTCGCTTTGATAAATTGGTATCATGCATAAACCTTAGAGGGAATGCCATTTAGGGAATCCCGTTATAGGAATAAACCACCTTTTGTCTCGGATATATAATCCAATGAGACTTACACGTTTATATTTTTTGTACCATCCAAAGGGGTAGTGCACAAGGTAAGGTAGGATTTGATCCCTTCCGTGTGACGGCATTGAAAATAATGGAACAGTTTTTACGCATTAGAATATGAGCCTTTAATAATCACTTTTTGGCCATTTTATCAGAATTGGTAAAAATCCCTTGCGTAAAGGACATTAAGTTGAAGAAATTCACAAATTCCTCATTGTTGAGATGATAAGTATGTTAAGGCCAAATCTTGATTTTCGAAGGCTCATAGACTAATGAATCATAATGAATTTTTGAAAATTTTCAATGGGTAGACAATTCAATCAATTTTTGGAATAAACCATCAATTTCATTGGACCATTTTATTCATCAAATTCATCCGATCCATTTTTTCCTATTTCTTCACTTTTAGGACTAAGTCAATTTTGAATAAATCAGCAATTTCGTTTGACCAATTTACCCTTTTTTAGGGTGATTCGGTCAATTTTGAATAAATTAAATTTCATTCAATTCATGTGACCAGTTTACCTATTTTTAGGGCAATTCGGTCGATTTTGAATAAATCATCAATTTCATTCATTTCATTTTTACATCTAATATGATTGAGTCGATTTTTTTTATAGATCATTCGATCCTTACAATTTTGCTCGTTTTTAATTTCATCTTCATTCAATTTCATTTTGAATAAATCATCAATTTCATTCTGTTCATTTGGTCAGTGATCAAGTCGATTTTTGAATAAACTGGCAATTCTATCCAATCTATTTGACCAATTTATTCATTTTTAGGCCAATACAATCAATTTTGAATTAATCATCAATTCCATTCAATTCATTATTCATTTAATCAATTTTATTTTTTTATTTTTTTTTGAATAAATTCTCAATTCCATCCAATTCATTTGATCAACTTTATTCATTTTTAGGATAATCCAGTCAATTTTTTGAACTAACCATCAATTTCATTCGATCCATTTAACTCGTTTATTCTCTTTTAAAGTTTCGATCTATGGTTCACCGAAGAAACTAGTCGAGATATTTCAATCCTTTCAAAAATAAGTTTTTCACACTAAATTGATTTTTAACATCACTTTATGTGTCAATCAAAACAATCAATCCATTCGGACTTTGTCCTCATTTTATTAGAACAAATTGTCTTTTGTCACTCCAATTATCCAGTCTTTTCAAAATTGTCTTTTCATTGAATCTCAATAAGTCGATCGGATCCATCAGGTATTGTATGGTGCCTACCCCAGAGGATTGCATTTTTCATACTAGGCCAACTCTTGGCATAAAAGGGTTCCCCCATAGGACATGCATACCGATTTTGCAGTTTTGCTTACTAACTCTGGGTATTTTGCTTTTATTTTTTCCCCCTCCCCTGCATTTATAAAAGTTGTTTCAACAAGGTAAAAATATTTTTCCTATATCTGATAATATTTTTGGTCTGATAAATTTTGAAAATTACAAGTGTTGCTTGATTCTTGGGCAGATCCTACAATGTAAAAAAAAAAAAAACGATGATGAAAAAAATGAATGAAAAATCCATTTGAAAACGCTAGTGTAAAGTATCTCAAAAATCTTTTGATTCATTGTTTCTAATATATTTTGTCTCAAAAGATAGAAGGAGAAAGTGTGTATATATTTGAAAATGTATTCTTTAGAGATTTTTATTTGCTCACATGTATTATATTTGACCCAAAAAAAAAAATTTCAAACATTTGAATAATAAAGTTTTTATTTAGACAATTATTGTTTTGTATATATTCATTCTTTATTTGCTCATTGAGAGATTTCATGATAGATTTTAAGGAATAAAAATTGAAATTTTTCGACCTCTTGTTCAAAATTCATGAGTGCACGTCAAATTCCCAAAATTCTTTGCATACACTAGATTTGTGATCTAAACTATTCAATGGGAGTAGTCGAAAATAAAAGGGGTCATACAAATTTGATAGTTTGTCATAAAGATCAACCCCGACACTTTTTTCATTTTTTGTCCACTTCTATTGAACCTCCAAAGTCAGTCGCATTGATTGACTAGCTTCAAAGTGAGACAATTTTACTATGAAAATGTCCAGTGTGTCTAACCAGATTCAATCCACATCTGAGTGAAAACAAAAATGTATATTACTTTTTATTTGTTTTGAAAATTTGGAATGATACTTTAGGCTTTTGTTTCTCTATCTATATAGATTTTATCATTTATTTTCCCATTTGAACCTCCAAAAATAGAATTCCGTTTCAAATAAAAATCTAAATGATCATGACCATCCATGAAAAATTCTCAAATGTCAAAACGAAATGGATTTTCTCAATGGGCTATTCTTTACTTTGGTTGTCATGAGAAACAAGAATGATGCTTTGGCCATTGTTTCTACTATCCAAACACTTTCTATCCTTTGCATCCCCATTTGAGTCTAAATTGGTGGTTCGTTTCAAAAGCACTTATGATCGCACCCCCACACTGGGGAAGGAGATTTGAGAATTGAAAAAAAAATGGCAAAAATGCTCAAAATTTTTTGCAAGAGAAAAATTACAAGTTGGGGGAATTTGACTCTACCATTGATATTTTGGTCTTCACTGTTGAAAAGAAAGAGGGGCCATATATACTCCAAATTAGGGAGTTTTCAATTTTATCATTGACATTGGGATATCAGTATTGGTAAAAAAAAAAAAAGAGAGAGAAAAGAAAATTGGGAAAAAATGAAAAAATGATTATAGAAAAAAAAAATGCGAAGACATCCAATGTTGCATTTCCCTTAGTGATTGTTGAAGAAAAAAGAGGATTGATAAGAAAAAGGGGGTCCCGGATTTTAAATCCAAAACTGGGGCAATTTTTGTGAAAGAAGGCGATCTTAAGTGCGTTGTCCTTGAAAATTCTATTTTTTTTTTTTTTTAGCTATCATTGTTAAGCCACATTACAAGCTCATAAAGTCCATTGCTGACTTATCTTTCATGACAATTTGAAGTGAAGATTTCGCCTTTAAGGAATTTACCAATTACTCATGATCATTAGGTCATAACTTGTTTCCATATGTTTAACTATCGTTTCTACCCATACATTACAAGCCCATAGAGCTTATATGTTAACTGAATTTTCTTAAGAAATAAGGGTGATAAGCTATTTGCTTTCACCAAGATGTGATACTGAATGTGTTGGATACAATTTGGGCACAAAAAAAAAAAAAGACAGATCCTGACATACCATCTCCCTGAGTCACCTCAAAATCATGAGTAATACCCATTTGTTTGGTCCTAAAAGATGAGCCAACGAGAAGAGGACCCTTTTCCCTCGATATCGATCCCAAAAAGAGGAAGAGATCTTTTGTAATTTGGTTTTGTTTTGAGAGATTTATCATGGAGCTTTCTACATGGCATTTAAAGTTTTTTGTGGAAAAATGCATTTTTTCTATTGTACATCAACTCACATTGCATGTTAGTTTTTTTAAATTTTGGAAGACACAGTTTTCTTGTTTTGTCCGAATAAATGGAGAATCACTCGAATAAAATTTTAGAATAGACCCAAATTGGGGCAAAAATTTTTGTAATATATCTGTGAGATTTTGTCAAATAGGTTCAAATTGAGGTAAAATTTTTAATACATTTGTAGGGTATGTCCAAGGTCAAGTATATTTCTCAAATCTTGATAAGTCAACACTTTGCATGAATGTTAATTGTTATATCATTACTCAAAAAAAAACAAAAAAACAAAAAAACAAAAAAAAATTGAAAATTGAAAAATTCAAGTGCTTTGAAAAATTCTCCTTATGCAGGTGTTTATGGTTGAGATCGAGGAAAAAGTGCAATTCAACTTGCAAATTTGGAGATTAGTCACGAATAAAAATGGAGCAATAATGCTACATTGCAAAGTGGAGGATCGGCTATTTGCTCAAAAGGAGTACATACTTTAGCAGCCAACTTGAAAAAAAAAAGAGAAAAGAAAAGAAAAAGGGGGAATGAAAAGCGAAAAAAAAAGAGAAAGAATAAAGGAAAAAAAAAAGTAAAGACAAAAGACAAAAGAAAAGAAAGGGGGAATGAAAGAAAAAAAAAGAAGAGAATAATAAAAAAGGAGGAAAAAATGGAAAAACGAAAAAAAAAGAGAATAAAAAAAAGGGGATTGAAAAAAAAAGAGAGTTTTTCCTTCGATTTTGCAAATTTTGCAATTGAACTCTGGGAGCGTTTCATTGGAGATTACATTTCTAAGTTAGGGCAACACCTTGTCCTCTTATGCTGAAATGGAAGTGGTAATACATGCCAAAACCGAGATCCCGTCCTTGCACATTTTGACAAAGGCTTAGGTAGAGGAAATCAAATGGATTAAGGAGCACAATGAGTTGCTATCTCTGATTGATGAAAAAGAGGTTGAATGTTTGTCATGGACAATGCTATCATCAAATGATGGTTCGTTAGTTATGACAAGAAAGACAAATCTTGCTTATTTGAAGTGAGGGATAAGGTTTTGAAGTAAATTCTTCCGATTCAAGAGGAGGTTAAAGAAAAGTTTGCTCCGACTTGGCAAGGGCCATTTATTGTTCAAAGAGTGCTATCCGGAGGAACGTCCATTCTTACAGAACTGGATGGACAGGTCTTTCCTCTGCCAATCAATTCAGACATGTGAAATAAATTCTTTATCTGATTATATGATTTTTCTTTTTGAAATACCATCTATGGCGGATCAAAGGCGAGCCTTCTTCTTTTCTCTTTGAACATCTTATCCCTAGTTTTCCCCATTGAACCTCCAGAATAATTCAACCTTTCATTTGATAGCCCTCCTAAAGATTGCAAACTCCATACTGGGGTAAATTTTTATCTCTTATTTGTCATGAAAAAAAAAGAAAAAAGAAGTCAAAAGCCAAACTGGGGCAATTTTTTCGGTTTTAATACCCTCATAATGGGGCAAATATTGATAGAATGCGGTCTTAGGATTTTTGAAACCTCTTTGAAGATTTTGCTTTGAAGTTTAACACTTTTTCTACACCCCACATGCCCCCATCATAAAAATCATAAAGTCTCGACCTCCGCTTTAGTGGTATTTCTAATAAAAATCACTTAATCAAATGGCAATTGATGTCAGTACACCTTCACCATTTTTACATGGGAATGGTTGTCGCGCTGATGCCATCCTTTCTTTAAATACATTTCTGAGTTGATAAATGTCGTTAACAAGATTTGTTCATTAGGTGAAAACCTGAAAGGGTGTCTTCAAAAGAATGAGAAAAAAAGAAAAAAAGAAAAAAAAAGAGAATGATGAAAAAGAAAAAAAAAAGAAGAAAATGAAAACAAAATAAAATAAAAAGGTGTGACCTTTGTGAAAATCCGAAAGGTTGAGGTCATCAAGGTGAGATTTTGGAGCACAAGAAAATCATGAACGAAAAGCGGGTTGCTGACACTTGAGATACTGGCCATTCATTCAAATCTGGTCATTAGAAAAGTTGATTTGTGGTACAAAGTGTGGTATGGCTGACTGATGCTGAAAAATGGAGAAGATTCAAAACAAGTTGCAGCACAACTCTTGAGGAGCAGTTTTGACATCGAAGGATCATGCTTGCATGGTTCTCAGGGCCAAAAGGAGCACAAGGAATCACATGGTATTGGTATCATATGATCACTCTTTTTGCTTTTTCAAAAGCATGAAAATGTGGCTTTCGTTAAACATGATTTACACTGGGGCAAATATCAAAAGGAGTGAGCTCCAATTTTGGTAATACATTCTAAATCGGCTTTGTGAAAAAAAAAGTTTTTTAAAGTCGAGAAGATAGTGACACATGTATGTACCTCTCAAATCTCTTGAAAGGAGAGTTGTCATTGGTATTCTTCAAGTTTTAGAATTTGTCACCTTTGTTTTTTTTCAAAAACAAAAAAAAAACAAAAAAAACAAAAAAAACAAAAAAACAAAAAAAGATTACAAATCCACCAACTTGAGCCACAATGTCAAAATGCAAAGCAGATGATTGGTTGAACAAAATTGATTCAAATTGAGTCAATTTCTGAAATGATTTTTCAGGTAAGTATTCAAGAACTTTTTCATGCAATAACGTGTGTCATGTCTTTTATCACCGTTAGCATCGAGTACAACTCACTAACGCGTGTTTTATTTTTTCACATCCGTTAGCATCGGGTCCAACCCACTAACGTGCCTTTTATCACCGTTAGCATCGAGTATGACTCACTAACGCGTGTTTTATTTTTTCACATCCGTTAGCATCGGGTCCAACCCACTAACGTGTCTTTTATCACCGTTAGCATCGAGTACAACTCACTAACGCGTGTTTTACTTTTTCATATCCGTTAGCATCGGGTCCAACCCACTAACATGTCTTTTATCACCGTAAGCATCGAGTACAACTCACTAACGCGTGTTTTACTTTTTCATATCCGTTAGCATCGGGTCCAACCCACTAACATGTCTTTTATCACCGTTAGCATTGAGATTTGACTCACTAACGTGTGCTATTTTTTTTCACATCCGTTAGCATTGGGTCCAACCCACTAACGTGTCTTTCATCACCGTTAGCATCGAGTATTGACTCACTAACGTGTGTTATGTTTTTTTCACATCCGTTAGCATCGGGTTCAACCCAATAACGTGTCTTTTGTATATCATGTTGGGATTCGGCAGGTTTGGGTGTTATCCCACTGACCGTTTTATTTTATTGGATTCGGGTTTTATCCCACCAATCTGTTATTTCTTGACAATTTAATTTCCTGTTGGTGAGTCTCAGCGTCCACCGCGCACCCTTCTATCTCCCATTCTTGACAAATTTAAATTCCTGTTGGAGTGTAATCGCGTCCCTCCGCGCATCAATTTAATTTCATGTTGGTGAGTCTCAGCGTCCACCGCGCACCCTTCTACCTCCCCTTCTTGACAATTTAATTTCCTGTTGGTGAGTCTCAGCGTCTACCGCGCACCCTTCTATCTCCTATTCTTGACAAATTTAAATTCCTGTTGGAGCGTAATCGCGTCCCTCCGCGCATCAATTTAATTTTCTGTTGGAGCGTAATCGCGTCCCTCCGCGCATCAATTTAATTCCTGTTGGTGAGTCTCAGCGTCCACCGCGCACCCTTCTACCTCCCATTCTTGATAAATTTAATTGTCTGTTGCAGCGTAATCGCGTCCCTCTGCGCATCAATTTAATTTCCTGTTGGTGAGTCTAGCGTCCACCACGCACCCTTCTATCCCCCTTCTTGACAAATTTAATTTTCTGTTGGTGAGTCTCAGCGTCCACCGTGCACCCTTCACCTCCCATTCTTGACAATTTAAATTCCTGTTGGTGAGTCTCAGCGTCCACCGCGCACCCTTCTACCTCCCATTCTTGACATTTTAAATTTCTGTTGGTGAGTCTCAGCGTCCACCGCGCACCCTTCTATCTCCCCTTCTTGACAATTTAAATTTTCTGTTGGAGCGTAATCGCGTCCCTCCGCGCATAAATTTAAATTTCTGTTGGTGAGTCTCAGCGTCCACCGCGCACCCTTCTACCTTCCATTCTTGACATTTTAAATTTCTGTTGGTGAGTCTCAGCGTCCACCGTGCACCCTTCTATCTCCCCTTCTTGACAAATTTAATTTTCTGTTGGAGCATAATCGTGTCCCTCTGCGCATCTTTTCCTAAATGACAAATTTAATTTTCTGTTGGTGAGTCTCAGCGTCCACCGCGCACCCTTCTACCTTCCATTCTTGACATTTTAAATTTCTGTTGGTGAGTCTCAGCGTCCACCGCGCACCCTCCTATCTCCCCATCTTGACTGTTAAATTTTCTGTTGGAGCGTAATCGCGTCCCTCCGCGCATAAATTTAAATTTCTGTTGGTGAGTCTCAGCGTCCACCGCGCACCCTTCTATCTCCCATTCTTGACAAATTTAAATTCCTGTTGGAGCGTAATCGCGTCCCTGCGCGCATCAATTTAATTTCCTGTTGGTGAGTCTCAGCGTCCACCGCGCACCCTTCTATCTCCCCTTCTTGACAATTTAATTTCCTGTTGGAGCGTAATCGCGTCCCTCCGCGCATCTTTTTTGAAAAGACAAATTTAATTTTCTGTTGGAGCGTAACCGCGTCCCTCCGCGCATCTTTTTCTAGTTATGACAAGTTAATTTTCTTGACTGTTTTGACTAATAATTGTGATTTCTCATTCATTTTGTGTTTCATGTTTAGAAGTTCTGAGAGCTCAGACTTTTTCGACTTTGCAAAGACCATAGTTGGTCAATGCACTTGTTTCGTTGTGGTTCACTTGCATTCGAACTACGTTTGACCTGATTCCCATGGCGGGATACGTAGGCAACTCTACATGAGTTCGGTCATATGCTCTGCAATGTTATTGCATCATTTTGTCCAATAATTTCAACCAAGTGTTAGCTTGTTTAATTTAACTCAGGTGCAGTTAGAAGAGACAGGTAAACAATTTTGACAAATTTTTGTCAATTTTTAATATTTTCTTGAATTTTTTCTATTTAATGAGTTATTTATTTTCTTGCATTTTAATTTGCATTTGTCTCATTTTTGCAGGTTTGTTTTAGGAAAAGAAGAAAAATTAAAAAAAAAAACAACAAACAAACAAAACAAAACAAAAGAAGGAAAATTAAGAAAATAAAAAAAATCATTCTAATCATTTTGTTTCATCAGAACCACTATTAACCCATTTTTACACTCCATCCTCATTAACATTTCTTCCCATTTTGGTAAAAAATTCATCATTGATAGCCCATGCATACTTCTTGTCTTTGGAAGAAAAAATCATCATTTGGCCCAACTTAACACTCCTAGTCAAGACATCACTCGGCTCTCTCTGGGGGAAAAGGAGGAAAAAAAAACACACACAAAAAAGGCTCTACTGTTGGCTACAAAAATCTCCTCTCTCGGCTCTCTCCCACAGGACAGAAGACAAGCCATAACAAGAAAAAAAAAAAGAAAAACTCCTCTTTCCATTCGGCTCCCTCTCTTTTCCTAATATACACACACAGAATCAAGCACAAGAAAGCAAGCAATCGGACGCGAGGAGATTGGAATTTCATCAACAATTTTAACTAAGGTCATAAGAGGTATCAACACTTCCATTGAACTATTTCCTGTTTTTTTTTCTTTATCGTGTTGAATTCATGTATTATTGGTTGTTCCTGCTGTTTTCTTGTTGTTGCTGCTGGTGTTGTTGAAATTTTGGGGTAAAGCCATGAATAAACATTAAGGAAAAGATGATTTCTGTGAATGCATGTTAATTGTTTGAAAAAATGCCAAAAAGAATTTTAGGGACTGTTTTGCCTTAATTCAGCCTTTTTATGTTGTTTTCTTGTTCAACTTAGATTATAGTTGTAATGTAGAAGTTATAAGGAGGGTTTTGGCATAATTTTTAAGATTTTTGGTGAAGATTATAGTGTTTTAAAAAATAAAAAACTGGACTGGCTTTTTGCTTTTCGGCCACCTTCGGGTCATCTTTTGTAAAAATTAACTCCGGAAATGGAACCTACGCGAAAAATGGAGTGGAAAGATGTATTTTGAGAAATTTTGGCCACTGGAAAAGTCGCCGGTGACCGGCGGTCCGGTGGCGCCGCCACCATGGCTACCAGCTGAAGCTTCTTCGGTTGGCCGAAGAAGAAGGAAAGGAAACGTATGGGGAAGAAAAGAGAAAGAAAAGAAAGAAAGAAAAAAGGGGTTTGGGCTAATGTTTTATTTCGGTTGGGCCAAGAGTTAGTTTTGGTTGGGTTATGAAAATGGGTTTTGGTTTATTTTCTTTTGGGTTTCTGTTGGGCTAAGAGTTTTGAGTCCATATATTTTGGTTGGGTTTGAGTGATAAAAGACGGGCTGGCCTGTGTGTTTTAGGTTGGGTTTTCAGTTGGGCTTAGGTAGGTTTGGCCCAAGTAAAATAAAAAGGGAGGCCCGATGCCCTCTTCTTGCCCAAATCAGAAACGAACTTGCACTTCAGTCCCTGTACTTTCAAGTACTTTCACTGCGGCCCAGAACATTTTAAATTCCTTTCAACTCGGTCCTTAAATTAATTTCACTTTGGTCCCTGAATTTTATCTTTCATTTAATTTGGACCCCTGAACTTTGGAAAATATAATTTTTGTCCCCCAAAAGTTTTCAACTTTTTGTAATTCAGTCCTTGACAAATTTTGGCTCTCTTTATTATGATTGTTTCTTTTCTTCAATAACTAATTATGTTACTTTTGAACATATTCAACTTGTAATTTTTAGATATTTTAAATTTCTTTATGTTTGACATATTAGCGTGAGCTTAGTACTTTTATTATTATTGTTTTTTTTTAAAA